CCCCCTGGAAAAGACCCAGGAGTCTCATCTGAAAGATCCCGCCTAGGGCGGAGTTGGTCGATGTGCCGACGCAGGACACGACCGTTGTCCAGGGCTACCTTGTAGGATAGAGGACCTGTGACCCTGGAAATAGAAGCGGGGACCCATGTATGACCAGGCCCGTAATTGCGAGTCCAAACCGGGGCACCCACAAGTAGTTGTCTAGATGCCCTAGGATGTGAAGTAGATGAAGGCAGTCTGTCCGGATGCAACTGGTCAGCTTCGTAGTAAGTTTGCGCCCCCAGCGAAGTTCAGCTGGGCTTCTCCCTGTAGAAGTGGACGGTGTGGTGTGGTAAGAAAGGAGAAAGTCAGCCAACCTGTGATGCCAGTCCCCATAGATGAGTCTTTTCAAGGCGTCCTTTGTGATGTGGACCATGCGTTCAGCCATACCGTTGGTGGACGGGTGGAAGGGTGCAGACGTGGCATGACGAATCATGTTAGCCTGTAAGAAAGCTTGGAATTCGGAGGAAGTGAATTGAGGGCCGTTGTCAGACACGATGACATCTGGAAGCCTGTGTGCAGCAAAAATCCCCCTCAGTACCTGAATAGTCTTTGCAGTGGTGGTGGATGAGACAGGTACAACCTCAAGCCATTTTGAATGACTGTCACCGAGGACCAAGAAGAACTGGCCCTGAAAGGGCCCAGCGTAGTCAATGTGCACCCTAGACCATGGGGACTGTGTATCCTCCCATCTATGCACAGGAGCTTGGGGCATCTCTGGGCAAGAGCGCTGGCACAGGTGGCATGCATGCACCTTAGCCTCAATGTCCTTATCTAAACCAGGCCACCACAAGTGGCTGCACGCAAGGGCCTTCATGCGAACAATGCCAGGATGACCCTCGTGGAGGGACTCTAAGATCCTAGTCCTCATTGAGGTGGGAATGACAACTCTGTTTCCCAAAAGCAGACAACCCTGAGAAGTGGACAACTCGTTCCTTTTGGACCAGAAACTCTGAAACTCAGGACTAGGGCAGTGCTCAGGCCATCCAGACAAAACCCAAGAAAGGACACGTGAAAGTGTGTGATCCGTGCCTGTTTCAGCAGCAACATCCCTGGCATTCAGAGGGGACTCGGGCAAGGCTTGGATGGATAGAATGTTGACAGCTGGCGCAGGGTCAGCTTCTACTACTGGCAGGGGCAATCTACTGAGGCCATCAGCATGGCCCATTTCCTTCCCAGGCTTGTGGAGTAAGGAAAAATCATATGCAGACAGAAAAATAGACCACCTAAGCATTCTAGGGGATATGATTTGGGGCGTTCGTTTACGTGTGGTAAACAGTCCCAGCAGAGGCTTATGGTCAGTGAAGACCATGAAATGCCTGCCATACAAGAAATCATGGAATTTTTTAATTCCAGCAACAACAGCCAGAGCCTCCCTGTCTATCTGAGCGTAGTTGCGCTCAGCAGAAGACAGTGTTCTGGAGTAATATGCAACAGGAACCTGAGTTCCATCAGACCTGAGGTGGCTCAGGACGGCTCCTACCCCGTAAGGGGAAGCATCACAAGCGATGCACACAGGAAGGGACTCATTGAAGTGTGCAAGTACACTGTTAGAAGTGAGTAAGGCCTTGACCTCATTGAAACTAGCCTCATGTGTTTGTGACCACTGCCACACTGCTTGTTTGTCTAATAGCCTGTGAAGAGGCTCAGCTACACTAGCTTTATGTGGAAGAAAGGAATTGTAGAAATTCAGGAGGCCCAGAAAGGCCTGAAGTTCGGCCTTAGACTTTGGCCTAGGTGCTTCTAAAATGGCAGTTAGTTTGGATTCAGCAGGGTGAATCCCAGCAGCATCAATTTTGAACCCCAGAAATTCAGTAGAAGGCACCCCAATTTTGCATTTGTCTTTTTTGAGCTTGAGGCCTGTTTTCCTGAACCTTAACAGAACAGCCCTTAGCCTTTCAGCTAGAATGTGTGTGGAGTCTCCTGCAATTAAGACATCATCAAAGTAGGGGCAAACCCCCGGTATGCCCCGTAGTGTGTTTTCCATTACGCTTTGGAAAATCCCAGGAGCGACATTCACTCCAAACTGTAGCCTTTTTACCTTAAAGGCTCCCCTGTGGGTCACAATAGTTGAGCTATAGCAGCAGCATCATCAACAGGCAGCTGTTGATACGCTTGAGCTAGGTCAAGCTTTGCAAAAACGCGCCCCCCCTTGAGGGAGGCCAGAATATGACTGACCACAGGAACAGGATAGGCATGTTGCTGCAATGCCTTATTAAGAGTGCATTTGTAGTCAGCACAAATGCGAATGTCCCCATTTGCCTTTAGAGGTGTGACAATGGGGGTCTCCCAAGGGCTGGAATCAACAGGTTCTAGGATTCCCTGTTGGATCAGTTTGTCTAACTCCGTGTCAATTTTACTCTTTAAAGCAAAAGGAACCCTTCTTGCTTTAATTCTAATGGGAGTGACAGTGGGGTCTAGTTTTAAGGACACAGGGGGTCCCTTGAATGTGCCCAGCTGGGGGCTGAAGACATCTGCAAATTCTTTGCAGACTTCCTGTAGGTCGAGTGTTTGTAAGCTGTTGAGCCCCGTGACGTGTATCCCCAAGGCTTCAAACCAATCGAGTCCTATGAGACTCGTTCGTTCACCCCCTACTACTAATAGGTCTAGTGGACCTTCAAAATTCTTATACTGTACGTTAAGGGTGGCCTCCCCCTTAACACACACTCTCGAATTTTGAAAGTCTGTTAACACAATGTCAGAAGGCCTTAATTTAGCCTGAGTTCCACTGCCGGAACAAATCTTCCTAAATGTATGTAAGGATATGATTGAAAGGGCAGACCCCGTGTCTAGTTCCATAGTTAATGGAACCCCTTGTAGCTTCACCTTGAGTGACAGCTTTTTCTTGATGGGCTTGTGTGTGCCTGTCCTGAAGATGCTTCTTCGCGAAGCGCAAAAACCTACCCTATTCTGGCTGGGGACCCTGGTACCTTTCAGGCGCGGTTCTTCCTGAGGTTGTACCTTTCGTCGGCCCAGACACACAGCTGCAATATGTCCTTGTTTCCCGCACGCCCGGCAGATAGCGGAGCGGAACTTGCAGTCGGTTCTCCTGTGGCGATCTCCACAGCCAATGCACTTGAGGGGAGCTGCAGAGCTTCCTTTCTGATTCTCTTCCTTCGTGGGGTGGAGACGGTCGACTTCCTCGTCCGGATCCTCCTCGGAGTTCCCTTGGACGTCCTCTTGGTGCACGGATGCAACATTTGGACTGTTCCTGATCGGCCGCATGTTTTTGACGGCGCCGCCTGCTGCTTCTTCTGTGGTGACCTCCCTTAAGGCATCTTGGAAGGACAAGTCTTCTTTGGCGAAAAGCCTCTGTTGTAGATCTCAATGCCTTAAGCTGCACACGAATCGGTCCCTCAGTCGTTCTTCGAGGTCCTTGAACTCGCAGTGCTTGGCGGCCTTCCTCAATGCGGCAATGTATTCTTTGGCCGACTCTCCGGATCGTTGATCCCTCTGCTCGAAGATGTGGCGCCATGCGATGACGGACATCTTGGTCTGGAAGTGCTCCTTCAATAGCTTCTTTAGATCTGCGTAGCTGACAGACTCTAATGGGACAGGTGCTGCAAGGTTCTCTGCGATTTCGAAGGCGTCTTGACCGCAGACACAAAGCAGGGTGGCAGCCTTCAAGCTATCTTCCCTCACTTGGTTTCACCTTGAGGTAGTTTTCCACCCTGGCTACATAGGACTCCCACCGCTCTGGATGTGAGACGTCGAATTCCGAAAGCCTTCCAACCTTTGCCATTTTCAGGAGACGGGTCTATCAGCCAGCCTACCCCCGAATGCGCACTGGATTGGCAGGTAGCTGCCGAGTCAATGCCGTTCCGCCGCTCAGGACTCACTTGGGTAAGCTTACACCTCTTCCTTTCCAGGCGATGTAAGGCATCCCACCTTCGTCGCCAGTGTTGAGTCCTTGGCGAAAAGCAGACACGAGAAGCAGTTGTAGTTCTCAGGTTTCCTTTTATTCTGTGTTCAGCTTACAGGTGAAGGCTTCAGCAACGCCCAAAAGCTCCCAGCCTCTTATATAGGCAATTCCCGGGTCAATGTGTTACTTTTCCCGTGCCAGCACCCGCGCATGTGCACAGGCGCTGGCGACAGCCTGTCTGGTCCCGGGCAGCTTGCACCTGCCCGGGACTGTCTGCAAACGCCCCGAGCCCGTTTGCAAGGCTCGGGACATAACAATAACCATCTAAATATTCTATTGCTCCTGAATCTTTCATTCATTTCTCTAAAACCACTGACAAACAATTGATAAATCTTCAGATAGAACTTATTTTCCCAAAAAATATCATCCAATTCCCTAGCATCTCTGTCCAGTGCCTCCTATTTACAAAGCTGGACAGAACAGGATTGCTGTTTACCCGGCACCTGCACAATTTCCTTGAAACAGCCATAATATCCCTGTAAGTTTGATTTACAGATGACTGGAAAGAGCTGTAACTTCTAAAGCAGGTTCTTTTGCATATTGAATAATTAGTAAAATGCATTAATATATTTATACTCCAAATGAACATGGTCTGAGAAAAACATAGTAAGGTGTAGTATGCACACTTACCCACTTCCACTATTTAACACAGACAAATTGCCTCTATTTTTCTGAGCTATCCCACCAAATGTTGAATAAATGCACTATTTACTTATGGGTTGCAAGATTCCTCTATCCAAAAATTTATTAACAGCGTAGGCAGCATGACAAGATAACTAGGATTAAAATATCCGTCCTAGAAAAGCTATGCCTATGCTTATAAGCTGTGTTTGTCTGCTAACAGAGAATTAGCACAAACAGATTAACTAATTCTACTTTATTGTAAAGGTACATTAACAGAATCTTGCAAGTCTGCTAATATAAATCTCCCACCATCTCTTTTATAGCCTGAGAGATTAAGGAGGTTTCTTTCTGAGTTTCTTTCTCTAGCCATTATGCAGCTTCAGGCTATGTCCTCTCTTATCTGATTATTTCCTAGGCAGCATCTCTTCACCCCTTCTCTCAAGGTCATTCCCACATACTGCTACAATTATGGATTAGCACACTATGTGAACTACTACCTGTGAAGTTTCTGAAATGTCTATCTTATATAAATTGCAAGGACAAGGCATTCAACCCTTACCTGGTAGGTAGAATAATAATTTCTCCAGTCAGACTTCATTTTTACCAGGAGACAATAAGCACTCTGAGTTTGAGTAATGCTGTATATTAGACAGTACATGAGCATAGAAAGACTTCTGCTGGAACACTTTGAGGTTTATTGCTTCAATCATACAATGCTGGGTGCATAAATTGCCTGAGGCAAGCTTCATTTTATTTCTGGCTTATTTTTAAAGTCTCAAACATGTACAAGTAAATGTGTCCTAAGACCTGAATAACTGTGATGCAGGTTGATCTCCCATATGCTGTATAAACTTGCTCAGATATGGAGCCTTTCTCTATGATAGCAAATGTTTAGCTGCAGCAGGACATGCCAGATAGAGAAGTAAGGCTCCTTTGCTGTGGTGTTTGCCTTCTGGAACAAAATCCTCACTGAGGTTTGTACCGCCTCCATTCTGACATTTAAATGAATCAATAATATCTGGTTCTTCCCACAGGGCTTGGGCTAGAGTGGATGGTGGATCCCTTGTTGCTGAGCAAAGTATAATTCTTGATGCTAAGAAAGAGTAATTTTATGAGAGCAATGGTCAGAGGCAGAAATATCTTTTGGCAATTTAAAATTGATCCACTATAAATTATGCTTGGTTTACCTCCGATGTATTCAGCATTTTTCCTTTTGTTCTGTGAATAATTATAATGTGATGTTTTGGAGAATCTTTAGATTATATATCAGGAAGTATCATGAAATCTCATAAAGTATCATGAGTGTGTCAGTATGTTCTGTGTAGCTCAATTAGTGGGATGCTGATAACACTATGCTAGTTGCAAATTATTCTCTGAATTAGAAATCTTACCTTGCATATGATAATGTGAGCATACTTGGTATAAAAATGGTCTTTGATTGCTCCTGCATGTGTCAAAACTGCCCAGTATAGGATCAGTTCCACTAAGAGTGGTAATGTGGTCTATATATCACTAATAAATGTTATATAAAAGTCCTGATGGATCAGTGCCAGGATGGGGCATGGAAGTACAAAACTATAGGCCAGTGATGGTGAACCTTTTAGAGACTGAGTGCCCAAAAACTGGCCCTGCTCCTGCTCCACCCCCTGCCCCGCTCCTGTCCTGCCTCCATCCCTCACCCCACCTTCCCGCAGGGCCACTCACCTCCTCCAGGGCCTGCCGCAGATTGCCCAGGCAGCCCAGCAGCGCTATGGCAGTCATGCCTTCTACCCGCGCCCTGCAGCATCAACTGTGCACGATGGGGTGTGAGGGAAGAGTCTTATCTATGCTGCCTGGCTGCCATGTCCTTGGCTGAGCTGCTCCGCGTGGGCCATGCTCAGGGGTGACTCTCTTTCAGGAGGGCTGCTGGAGAGGAGGGGTCATGGGGGGAGGTGAGGCTGAGGCAATGGAACATGTGCCCACAGAGAGGGCTCCGAGTGCTGCCTCTGGCACCCATGCCATAAGTTCGCACCACTGCTATAGGCCCATTTGATAATGAGCATAGATTATAAAACGTTGTGACTTGGAGTGTCAGAGGAATAAATGTTTAATAGAAAAGTGAGTGAAAGAAGTATGCTGAAGTAGTTTCACACAGATAGAACAAAGGAACATTAAATAAAACAAAAAACAAACTCTGGAGACAGGATGAATGAAAAGGAAAGGGAAAGACTGAGGAAATCATGGATGGGGTTGATGATCTTCAGAAACAAAGAGAGAAATTAAGAACAAAAGGCAGTATATGAAATGGTATATGAACACGATGGTAGCAAACATGATTTGCAAGGATAGAAAAGTATTGAGTGGTGTGAATGATACTGAAATAAATTACATTTAGCTATGTTTCTTTTTTTAAAAAAAGCATGCCTTTCTTTTTTTAGTTTACTGTTTCTTATTTATTTATTTATTTATTTATTTGTGAGACTTATATACCGCTTTAAGTGCAAGCACTCTCTAAGCGGTGTACACCAGTAAGCAATATATATATATATATATATATATATATATATATAATATTATATATATATATATATATATATATATATATATTTGTTTTCTGAGGTTTTCGCGGGTATTTGTATGTAGGTCTTTGGTTGTTCGGGTTTTCTCCCGCGTAAAATTGGAAGTGTCTTGGCGACGTTTCGACGAAGTCCCATTCGTCATCTTCAGGCTGGTGTTTCAGCTTCGTGCTTTGAGCAGCAATGTGTGGTCTTAGCTGTTTCTTCCTTTTAACTGCCAGTGGGGGTATGAACTGATTGGGTGGGAGCTTGGCTGTGTTCTGATTGGTGGAGGTGTGTTCTGAATGGTTAGGGGCTTGGCTGTGGTTCTGATGGGCTGGGGGAGTGTTCTGTTTGGTTGTGCTCAGGTTAGTCTGAGTTGCAGAGGGGTTTAAGATTTTGGGCTGCCTTGCTATTTTTTGGCTTCGCGTTCGTGGTCGTGCCTCCTCTTCATGGAGGGTGTCAGTTTGCTTCATGTATGGATTGGAGGGGTTTAAAGTGGCTAATGATGCAGCTGTGGTCTGGCTTCTGGTTTGTGGTCGTGCCTCGTCATCGGTGTGGCTTTGGGTTTGTTTTTTGCGTGGATGTGTGGTGGTGACATCCTGTGTGGTTTTGTGAGTGTGGGTCTGGTATCATTTTTTGTGTTAGGGAGTCGTTTGTCAATAATCTAGCCACATGGGAAAGAAAAACTGGACAACTTCCTCACACACCTCAACAGCCTACACCCCAAAATACAGTTCACCATGGAAACAGAAACTAACAACCAACTTCCCTTCCTGGATGTCTTAGTCTACAAGAAATCCAATGGCTCCCTAGGACACACCATCTACCAGAAGAAAACACACACAAACCGCTATCTGCACGCTCTCTCACACCACCACCCAGCACAGATCAACTCTGTAGCCAAGACACTCATCTCCAGAACAAAACGCTTAGCTGACGAACAACACCTAAAACCCGAACTACACACTCTCACCAATGTACTAACATCCAATGGATTCCATAGAAATAAGATTACAAACCTAATCCAAAAAGAAACCCCCACTAAAATCCAAGACAAAGAACAAGAAAACGGCAAAGCCCTCCTCCCATACATAAAAGGCACCACAGAAAGAATCAGTAAGATCCTCCATAAACACAACATCAAAACAGCATTCTGCACAAACAGAAAAATATCCACCATCCTTAGAAACCCCAAAGATAAAATTGAATTAGAAAATCAAGGAGTATACGAAATCCCATGCACCACTTGTCCCACCACATACATCGGACAAACCAACAGAAGAATAAGTGCACGCATTGAAGAACATAAGAACTCAGTCAAAAAAGAGGAACCAACATCTTCCCTGGTCCAACACCTTAAAGCCACAGGACATGAAATTGACTTTAAAAATACCAGAACCATTGCCAAAAGTGAACATTTTAATAACAGAATAATCAGAGAAGCCATCGAGATAGAAAAACGCCCACACAGCATGAACAAGCGAGATGATACCTCCCGCCTACCAGCCATTTGGAAACCCGCCCTTATTGACAAACGACTCCCTAACACAAAAAATGATACCAGACCCACACTCACAAAAACCACACAGGATGTCACCACCACACATCCACGCAAAAAACAAACCCAAAGCCACACCGATGACGAGGCACGACCACAAACCAGAAGCCAGACCACAGCTGCATCATTAGCCACTTTAAACCCCTCCAATCCATACATGAAGCAAACTGACACCCTCCATGAAGAGGAGGCACGACCACGAACGCGAAGCCAAAAAATAGCAAGGCAGCCCAAAATCTTAAACCCCTCTGCAACTCAGACTAACCTGAGCACAACCAAACAGAACACTCCCCCAGCCAATCAGAGCACAGCCAAGCCCCTAACCATTCAGAACACACCTCCACCCAATCAGAACACAGCCAAGCTCCCACCCAATCAGTTCATACCCCCACTGGCAGTTAAAAGGAAGAAACAGCTAAGACCACACATTGCTGCTCAAAGCACGAAGCTGAAAACACCAGCCTGAAGATGACGAATGGGACTTCGTTGAAACGTCGCCAAGACACTTCCAATTTTACGCGGGAGAAAACCCGAACAACCAAAGACTACCTACATATATATATATATATATATATATATATATATATATATATATATATAATATATATATATATATATATTTACATTGCCCCCAACAATCTGGGTCCTCATTTTACCTACCCCGGAAGGATGGAAGGCTGAGTCAACCTTGAGCCGGTGAGATTTGAACCGCTGACCTGCTGAACACAGTCAGCTAAAGTGGCCTGCAGTACTGCACTCTAACTGCTGCGCCACCTCGGCTCATTACTTTTCTTACTTTTCTGCACTCTGCATAATGCTTCTCATTGCATAAAGAGAAGAGCATGATGAAAATTATTGTTGATATAGATATACATAATATAAAAATATTGCCTACACTGAATAGTAGTGAATCATTAGGATTTGAAACAGATATGTTTCTTAGTCATAGGTAGCCAGGTGTTGATTTTGAGACCCTTTGCACGACAAAGCTAAAAGCTAATGTTCTAAGGGACATATTAATTGAAACATATAATTACTTCATCCTGTTTGCTGCAGGAGCAGCCTAACATTGCTTTTGGTTTTTCTGCTGTCGAAGTGGTACAACTCAATTCTTGTAGTAAAGACCAGCTACCATGCCTCAGAGCTCTGTCCAGCTGCTGAAGTCTGCTGTGAACTTGTTCTCTTTTTAGCCTGTCATTGGATGTTGATCCCTATGGTCACTCAGGCTTGACTTCGACAAAGACCAGACATCTGCTCTACAAAGCCTTTTATTTGGTCTGTTTTTTTGACACAGAAATAATCCATCTCCCAGAAGACATTTGGACTTTTTGAAGAACATAGGCAGGACATTGATAGTCCCATAGGAAATAAATAAATACAGTACTTTCAAAATCTGGCTGACTGGCCAATAGGAGAGAATGTCTACAGTCTTTAGCCCTACCTTGCCATACATTATCGAGAACAATTGGAGGTGGTGTTTTTGTTGATAGGGATGAAAATGAAGCTGGTGAACCCATCAGTCATTATCTTGAATTTGTAAGGACAGCAACACTCCCTACCTTGCTACTGAGTCACAGTAAGCATGACTATGGAGGCCACACAATTTAAATCAACCCTTCCCCTTTGTTTTCTTCTTCCCCTGTCACCCAAGGGTTACGAAGTGAAATGGGAAAATGTATTGTTTGTGAGATATGAGTGTGTGTTTGGCACTGTTGAGGAATTTTGCCAAAGTAAGGAATACAACACTGAGAAAAACCATGGTTATTGCATTGATTATTGGATGCATGTTGTAGGAAAAAAAGGATCCCCGACCAATGGAAAAGTAAAGCTTTTTTAAAATAGAAGTTGAGGGCTACAAGGCAGAAAATCCTAGGGATCTGAATGGCTGGTCAGTTGTGGGAAATTGGGCAGGTTTTGTCCCCATTCCTGTGGTGAATTCTATTGTCAGGCAGAGCGGGGTTTTTAGGCAAAGAGAGGAACTGGGTTTTACCTAGGTTATATCTAAAATACAAGGGGGGGCAGGGGGGCGGGGGGGGGAAGTCTTCATTTTGTTTGTTAGGTTCATTTTTTTCCACTACAGGCACAGTAGGAGAGTCCTGCTAATCAGTGCAGAACCAGAGAGGGACATGTTAGTAGCAGCCTCAGCTAGCTATTAGAATCCTTAACCTTACTTCAGTATGATGTAATTCAGATGGACTAAATAGATAGCTTATGCTGAAAATGCTATTTTACAAATGAAATAATAGGAGTTGAGTTCTTTCTGCCTTTTTAGCAGATCAGGTAAATTGAATCTAATGTAATTTGTCCATTCCTCTAAATTCATCTGATGAAGTATCTGCAATCCATGGTGAATAGATTATCTAGAATCCAAAAATAGACATTCTGCTTTGAGCTACACAGGAGATAAATAATGATGGCTTCACCAAATTTGATTCACTAATAGATCACATATAATTCAAAATTACAGACGGGCTACAATGTTATATTTTTTAATCTTTAATCAGCATTAATTAAAAGGGAATTTGAGTTTATGTTTTAGCAGAAATTACTATGAAAAAGACTGCTGATTTGCAATTTAATTGCTGGTTTTTTAAAGCTTCTGTTTTCATTTAATGCTGAATTCATAAACGTAATTGTGAACATGTTATCTCTGTAACCACTAGCATGTTTGTTCACAGCAACAAATTGAACGACAGCTAAAATGCTTGGCATTTCAAAATCCAGGACCTCTGCTGGCAGATTTCAACCCAGAAACTCGGGAACAACAAAAGAAAGTCTGTATGTCAATGATAAACCAGGATTGTTTTAATACTACAAAGAAGTAAGATGATATATCCATATTCTTCCTATATTTTAAATTAGCTTTGAAAATAGAAATTTGCAGGGTTATTTAATTACCATCAGATGCTTAAAGCTCCAGACTAATGCATGTCTTCTTGAAAGTTCTACTGCAGTTAGTGGTATACAATCTATCCATAATTACCATGATTGCTACAATTATGACTATTATGAGATTCGCTTATTTAAGCATTTAAGACAGAATAAATCTGCTCAGTATTAAATTATAGATCATTTGGTAGATTAAGGGTGTAAAATTGGTTTAGAGCTGAAGGCTGTATTTGGTCATAGAGAGGAGTAGTATGTACCATACTACAAGTGGGTGGAGCCTAGACAAATACAAATATTGTTCTAAATTTAGTGTATTATGTATACACATATACATACGCATGCACACACATGTGTGCACATACACACAGAGAGAGAATATTACAATAAAATACAATTAACATTAATAGTATGCAAAGTTTTCTGGATTTCAAAAAAATTTCAAATTGTTTCATATTCAGAATCTCTCTTCTAAATTCCGAAGATTTTTTTCTTCATAGGAAAATTTAAGGAACAAGAGTAAATTAGGAGAGTTATTGTGGAATGCTGCATATAGATTTTGTTCTTGTCCTTATGTATTTTATTTAACATTTCTAAGAAACCACAGAAAAAACATTCAGCAGTGTAGAAGTGAACTTCAGTATGCCGATCGATAGTTCTATGTAGTTTTGCATCTAAATGGGAATCTTAAAAGGTTTTGAACCAATTCTGGAACCCTAATAAGTGAAATTGTGATCATTAAGTAAATACCCTGCTTATAAATGAGAACCCATTCTTCTGAATGGGTGGTTTTTTTTTTTGCCAGCAAAAAGGATACAAATCATGGTCAAGTCATCACAGGATGCTGTGAGCTAGTTGCCAGGTGTCTAAAATGTGATCACATGATCGGGGGGGGGGGGAATGTCATGATATTTTATGATGGTCAGAAGTGCTTTACTGGCTGGCACCCATTCTGGGCCCGTCATAAGTTTGAATGGTTGTTAAGGGACCAGTCATAAGTCAACAACTACCTGTATGCAGTCTTCAAAACTATAGCCACATGCCAGTTTTTATCTCTAGTTAGTTTCGATGGGAATTAAATTTGCTATCCGGTCTATGTGGCTGGCTGTTTTCCACATTAGCAATCTGGCAATCCTCTGCTTAATTAGAATTTAATTTGCTGCTCTGCATGCCCTGCTTTTAAGACTTATGCAGCTGATCAGAATCCTAATAGTTCTCTTTTCCAGTGGGGATTATTGCTTTCATATTAAAAAAGTGCATATCCTAACAGCACACAATCTGGCACATCACTGCTGCCATTTATAGTTTATCTGAGTTAAAAAATATTCCCATGCTAAGCAGTCCTGAGGAACCATCTGTCAAAGCAATTTTCTTCCTTCTTTTTTAAATAGATTCTCTTGTAATGCTGCGTTCCTTTCTGAGGTAAAGATAAAAGTGTTTTTTATCTGTACATTAAAATAGTATCATAGCGGAATTCTGGAGATTTTTTTTTTTGCTTTGCAGTGCATTTTTACTTTTTACTTCATATTCTAACAATCTAACAAAGTTCCTCTGCTATTTTATAGGACTCTGAAGAAATATGATAAACACGGTCATCTGATTTCCAATAAAACAGATTTGTGTGATTGTCTAGAGAAGAACTGCCTGGGCTGCTTTTACCCTTGTCCTAAATGTAATTCAACAAAGTGTGGGGCGGAATGTCGCTGCAACCGAAAATGGGTCTATGAGCAGATTCAGGTGGAGGCTGGCCAAATCATTCGATTTCCATTTCGAAACAACTAGATCACATTATGTTTCCTGATATTATTTTTCTCGCTTTTGTAAAGAAAAAGGGCATTTTTATTTTACAAATAAATGCAGGGTTGTTGTTCAGTCACTAAGTTGTGTCTTTGCGACCCAATGGACCACAGCACACCAGCCCCCCCCCCGTCTTCCACTGTTTCCTGGAGTTTGCCCAAATTCATGTTCATTGCATTGATGACACTATGTAACCATTTCATCCTCTGCTGTCCCCTTCTCCTTCTGCCTTCAACTTTTCTTAGCATCAGGGTCTTTTCCAATGAGTCCCTTTTTCTCATTAGCTGGCCAAATTATTTGAGCTTCAGCTTCAGTATCTGTCCTTCCAAACAATAGTCAGGTTTTTTTTTCCCCTTTAGAAAAATGTAGGTTGCCATACTATTTGTTGGAAGGAAAATAAATAGCTTAAATCATACAAGGAAACTTGGAAAAGTACATGTCTTGAGGGCAAGATGGCATAAGAGAACCATGATTGGAGTGAAAGGAGAAGATAGTTTGATAGCAAGAGCATCAGGAGAACCTTGACAGGAGAACTAGAAAAAAGGTGCTTCACATTTGTCTACCTATGTTTCTTCATTACAAATTAGTGCATCTCCCCACATGCTTTATTTTTAATAGCTGATTTGAAGTCCATGTAGTGGATGGTTTCCTAATTTTGAAGAACTTGGAACACATGTGATGAAGAGAAATTTTGCATGGTAGGAATGGAAGGAGATGATAGGTAAAAGAAAAAAAAATGAAGATTTTTTTTTCTCTTCCTCAGCAAATGGGTATTAGAATTTCATCTTAGGTTATTGGAATGTAGTGTGCAGCTGCCTGTGAGTTTATTTAGTTAGAAAATGTTAGCATTAAGCCTTCTTCACTTTGGTAGCATCCAGATGTGCTGGGAATCCTGGAAGTTACAGCTGCAGAACATTTGGAGGACCTCCAGGGTGGAGAGGCTTATCTAGACTCTAGGGAATTGACTGAATATTCCTCCACTGCTAGGGTCAAGTAGAAGGCGATGTGTGGTTTAAACTCTTTTTGTTCGGTAGAATCAGCCAAGGATAAAGAATTTAAAAACAGCTGAGTAAATTGAAGAAAAACCTCAATAGCTCATTATTTCTTGATTCATCTATGCATGCATTATACAATCATTCCTTGGTGCTGCTCAGAAAGAAAAAGAAAAAAAGTTTTGCCTATGACAACATGCCCTGCCTACCAATGTCAGATACAAACCTCCAATACACAGCTCAACTGGATGGAAAAATGCTCAAATGATATAATTAATTACAGCAGAGATTAACAACAGACAAACCATCAAGCAAAAAACAATACTCTAATGAAGGAAATACTAAGGAGAAAGCTACACCCTTTCTAACACTGGCAGGGAAAATTACTGTATACTGTATAAACAGAGAACAAATCCCACACTCACTAGTCGTGATGATGCCACCTAGTTGGGTAATTAAATGTCTGCAAGCAAACAACTGAGCCCAGAGAGTATATTGGGCCCAATTCAAAATGCTATTGAATTAATTACTTATTCATCCAATACTGGACATAGCTGTGAATCACATTAGCGAGCACTTTATTGAACATGATCTTGCCCATTATGTGAGAATGCTACATAGGATCTACTCAGGGTTGTGCCTCAACAGGAGAGGAGTGGCCAGAAGGTAGGCTTTCTCAGCCTTGCTTCCACATTAGGGAACATGTTGCCTACAGAAGTAGGTCTGGCTTCTATTTAGTTATACAATGTCCTGGATCTATGCGTTGCATAATATAAAAATTATTGTAAAAAAATTAAAAAATTATGTTACAAGTAGTCCTCAACTTACAACCATTCATTTAGTGATTGTACACTAGTAATAACAGACTGAAAAAAGTGACTTATGACTGTTCTTCACACTTACGACCATTGTAGCATCACGTGGTCAAAGTTTGGATGCTTGACAACTGGCTCATATTTATGACAGTTGCAATATCTTGGGGTCAAGTGGTCACCTTTTGCAAATGCAAAGTCAAGGGGGAAACCAGATTCACTTAGCAACTGTGTTACTAACAACTGGTTCACTTAACAACTGTGGCAAGAAAGTTTGTAAAATGGGGCAAAACTCAATTATCTGGCTTAGCCACATAAATTTTGGGCTCAAATGTGGTCATAAATTAAGTACTACCTGTATTAAAAAACATGAGACCAAACAATGAACTTTAGGCCATAATGTTGTTCATGGGTGTTAGTTCACCATTCCTCACTGTAAGCAAATCTGTTTGGTTGTCATTTTTAAGAGTAGTACTTATATGAACCATGGTTGGAATTATTACTGTGAGGAAACTTTTGAGCTAACGCAAGCCAAATTACTTAATTTGTATTATTTTTTATGTTTTATTAGGTATCTGTGACACATTGAATGTCCAGAAATACTGTGATATTGGTACATAATCATTATGGCATAATCCTATCACAGTGTGATCCTACACATTTATGGAAAGCATAGTGCATATCATAGCTGCAATATTTTAGAACAGCGGTTCTCAACCTATGGGTCGCGACCCCATTTGGGGTCAATCGACCATTTTACGGGGGTCGCCAAACAATGCGATCCGCCATTTTCCCCCCCTCAGGGGGTGGCACCGCGCATGCGCGCTGCGCATGCGGGCCGCCGCCGCACATGGGCTGCCGCCGCGCATGCGCACCGCACATGGCGCTGCCGTGCATGCGCACCGCGCATGCGCAGCACGTTTGTGTGACGGGGGTCGCCGTCACACAAACGTTGAGAAACACTGTTTTAGAAAGATGAGCTATTATAGCAGACTGACTTATGGCTCCAGATTGTCTAGTACAGTAGTGTGTATACCAGATTTTGACCAGTAAGCTATGGGTTTCAGTGACATATTCTGATTTTCTTCGACAGAATGCCAAATGATCCCACTTCATTATTTGACTGGAAATGAGTCTAGCCTACTCTACTGCTTTACACCACTTACCCATCAACAATTAAGAAGGAAAAACTCTTTATATTTTATATTCATCACTCTCTGCTAAGATTACAATTATGCTAGAAAATGCATAGATCACATCCTTTGAAAATTTCATAAATAAAATGTAAAATAAAAAATAGAGAAAAATAATAAATTAAACATAAGCTACATCTCCAAATGAAACTAAAGATCTGATTAAAAATTCCTGTCTGAAAAATCAGATGAAATTGGAATGATAAACATTTCAAGATATAATCCAGATACCTTTTTGAATCTGGATAAATTTATAACAAAGAGAATGCTTAAATTTTTAGTTCTCAAATGAGAGCATTCTGCATTCCCAATTCTACATTGTAGGAATTTAGAATCAAAGAACTTTTGGAAAGTAAGCTGGCTGCCTTTTCTCCCTCATGAACAGATGCTATGTGTTTAATGTTAACTCGACTGATATTCCCAGTCTTGAAGAATGACAGTCTATTCATAACATATACATGCCTTTTAAGGAACTTCACCATTTTCATTTTAGTGAAAGGGCCGCTGTTTCTTGTTCTCAATATTGTAAGATGAATTTAAAAATATAAAATGTTATTTACTAGCTAGATTAGTTCAATCTTTTGAGGTTGAAAACAAAGTATCTTCTGACATTTGATTTTACATAAAGAAGATAATGCTTCTATAAAACACTTTTAAGAATTTAGAAGGCTTTAACAAAATACAGCCTTAAATTTTTAACAGAATGTTAGTATAACAGAGGGTAGCAATTAATAATCCTTTTCCTCTTTTTATATTTTAATAACTTTTTTAAAAATTACAAAAATGAGATGGCTTACATAATGGGCACACTAATAGGATGATATTGTACAAAATAACCAACATTTTTGATCTCAGCCAAAAAACTGAGATGTCTGATTCAACAGCCTGAGAGCCACTAAGGTTATAAAAGAAACAGACTTTGCATATGCACTTTCTGATTGATCAGATCTTACACTATTTAGGAATTCAATCCATAGAGGTTTCATACTCATTTGTGTGATCCTCTTCTAAAAATCCTGGGAAAAATTTGTACTTTTCTTGACATTTTTCTTTGAACATTTGTACAAAAAAGGAGGGTGTTCTTGAAGCTATTGACGCAATAAACACAATGGAGATCTCAAATCTAGTAGATGTGAACAATTTTCTGTGTGATTAATGGAGAGTAGGTTACCCAAGAGAGGTTTAGAACTTTTATCTCCAAGAAGAAAGAGATTTATACAATAGCAAAGTGGAATTTTACCAGGAAACATAGATAAGGCAGGCTAGAAAAGTCAGTGCCTTCCTAATTATATGCACTCCAAATTTGTTGATGTCCATTTTGCTCTATGAATTCAAGGTGACCTAACCCTAACCCTAAGTGGAATTTTCCTCCAATGAAATTTCCCCATGTATTTTACCAGGAAACATAGATAGTCTAGAAAGTGCCCTCCTAACCATACCTAAGCACTCCGAATTCGTTGGTGATATCAATTTTGCTCTATGAATTCAAGGTGACCTAACCCTAACCCTAAGTGGAATTTTCCTCCAATGGGATTTTCCCATGTACTTTACCAGGAAACATAGATAGGATAGTCGAGAAAGGTCAGTGCCCTCCTAACCATACCCAAGCACTCCGAATTCATTGGTGATGTCCATTTTGCTCTATGAGTTCATGGTGACCTAACCTTAACCCTAAGTCGAATTTTCCTCCAATAGGATTTTCCCATGTATTTTACCCGGAAATATAGATAGGGTAGTCTAGAAAGGTCAGTGCTTTCCTAACCATACCAAAGCACTCCGAATTTTTTCGTGTTGTCCATTTTGCTCTATGAGTTCAAGGTGACCTAACCCTAACCCTAAGTGGAATTTTCCTCCAATGGGATTTTCCCATGTATTTTACCAGGAAACATAGATAGGATACTCTAGAAAGGTCAGTGCCCTCCTAACCATACCCAAGCATTCCAAATTCGTTGGTGATGTCCATTTTGCTCTATGAGTTCATGGTGACCTAACCCTAACACTAAGTAGAATTTTCCTCCAATGGGATTTCCCCATGTATTTTACCAGGAAATATAGATAGGGTAGTCTAGAAAAGTCAGTGCCCTCC